GAAGGCATTGAGCACGCTTGCCTTCATTGCTCGGACCTTTGAGTATAGGAATTGGGACGTCATGTTGAGGTTGTCCAGGTCATTGATGAGTCCTGTCACCCTGTTATAGGGAGGATATTATTAAACTGGAGAGGGTTCAGAAATGTTTTACCAGGATGTTGCCGGGAACGGAGGGTTTGAGACAGACTAGAAAGGCTTGGACTTTTTTCCGCTGGCAGGTTGAGGGCTGATTTTATTGAGGTTTATGAAATCATGGGGCGCATGGGTAAGTGAATGTCAAGGGTCTTTTCCCTAAAGTGGGGGAGTTCAGAACGAGGGGGCATATTTTTAAGGTGAGAGGAGAAAGATTTGAAAAGGACATGAGGGGCTTTTTATCATGCACAAAGAGGTAGTCAGTGTGTGGAATGAGATGCCAGAGAAACTGGTGGATGCTGGTACAGTTACGACTTTTGAAAGACATTTGGGTAAGTTCATGAACAGAAAATGTTTGGAGGGATATAGGGCAAGTGCAGGTAGGTGGGACTACTTTAATCTGGGAACACAGTCAGCATGGACTGGTTGGACTGAACTGTTTGTTTCCACTCGAAGAAACAGTTTTAAAATAAGGTGTTTCCCATTACGACATAGATGTGGAGGAAAGAAAACAAAGAACTGCAGATGCTGTAGATCTGAAACAAACCAAAACAGAAATTGCTGGAGAAACCCAGGGGGTCTGGCAGCATCTGCAGAGAAAAAAAGGAGCTGCTGCCAGACCTGTTGGGTTTCTCCAGCCATTTATGATTGTTATCTCTCAGAAGATTGAAAGTCTGTGGAATTATCTTCCCTTGAGAGCAGTGAAGGCAGTATTATTGAATAATTTTAAGGTTGCGTTAGATAGATACTTGACTAACAAGGGTGTAGATATGGAAAGCAGAGGTCACGATCAGATCAGCCACCATCATATTAAGCCTTGCTCCTTATCCATGTGTTTACACATTCCCAAGTATCACTAAGTTGGAGAACCCACATAGACTTCAGTGATTCAAGAAGAAATTCAGCAACAAATAGTCTTGCCAGTGACACCCATGAATGAAATTTGAAAAAATACTCTCAAACCTTTATTGGCCATTCCACAATATGAACAACAAACAATCACACACCTTATTTAGAACCTTGCCTGCTTTTTAAGATTCTCCTCTGCAGTCTTTTTCTCTGCCAATGTCTGGACAAGTCTATGATTAACATCCTAGCTCTTTGCCCTTGAAGCAGAAACCTCTTTCTGTTTACAGAACCACGTAACTTACAGCACAGTAGGAGGCCATTCAGCACTGGCTGTCCATATGAGCAATTGCCTAAGTGCTGTTTCCCCGGCCTTCTCCCGATGACCCTGCACATTCTTCTTTTTCAGATAACTATCTGGTTCTCTTTTAAATGCTTCTAGTGAACTTGCACTGCCTGAGAATGTGGCAGAGGCATTTCAGACTCCAAAAAATTTCTGCATGAGAAAGTTCTTCTTAATTCACTTTTGCCATTTAAAAAATAAGAACTTGTTTGAACCTGTTTAACCTTTCCTCCTATTCTGAACGAGGTGAGGTGGGAGGGATAGTAAGGTCTGTAATTGCCTCCATTTCTTAGCATCAAACTGGAGTTCAGTTGCACTTATTCTGTTCAGCGGAATGGATATGAACAAGCCCCTGATAGCAGCTGAAGAGGATTAGGGAGTCTTCTCATGTTCAAGCCAACACTTCTCCTTGCGCTTTATTTAATAGGTCATTCATTGTAATCTGTGTAAAATTACCATGGGTGAAGAGGCGGCTGTGCTGTTTTTTCTATACACTGCAACTGATTGTACTCCAAAATAATTCATGGTATGAAAAGGGCTTTAAATCCTTTCATGATGAGGTGCAAATTTTTATTTCTTTCTCTCCTTGACTTCACTGCACACTGTGTCCTCTGACACATTGTTCCTTGAATGCAAAGTCCCCTTTTACCTACCGTTGTCACTCTTCACCCAGCTTCATTGAAAAGTCTTTTCTGCAAACCTCTACAGATTTTACAATTCCCAATGGGATGAGGGAGCAGGAATGAAAACAAGGGAGCCTACTCCCCCAACCCTGTCTTAAGTTCATCAGATCATCCGGCAGAGACATGGCAAATTAGAGGTGGAAAGGCAGGGCTCTGGGCCCAACCGGGAGATTAGGCTGGCTCCCATCATGTTAGATAAAATAGGAAATAGGTCACAGCTTAAAAGAGATTTAAAGGTCCTCTTGCGCTCCCAATCTATTTCTTATTGTAAGCTTAAAGAAAAATGCAGACAGAAAAAAAACATTTACTTTGAGGAAAGGGCCTAGTGCTATTATCGCTGAACTGTTAATCCAGGGATGCAGGTATTGTTCTGGGGATCCAGGTTCAAATCCTGCCACGGCAAATGGTGGAGTTTGAATTCAATGAAAATCTGGAATTAAGACTCTAATGATGACCATGAAACCACTGTCATTTATAGGAAAAACACATCTGGTTTACTATTGTCCTTTAGGGAAGGAAACGGCTATCCTTACCTGGTCTGGCCTACATGTGACTCCAGACCCACAGCAATGTGGTTGACTCCTAGCTGTCCTCTGAGATGGGAAATAAATACTGGCCTAGCAAGCACTGCCCTCACCCCGTGAATGAATAATAAAAAAGAAATATTCATCTCTCCCACCTTTCCCAGCAGAATCTATTACAACATTCAGGTGCAGCCTTGCCCTACCTCGTCACTGCTACTCTAAGACACTCCCAAATTTCTTCATGACAGTCAGTGGAAATGACAATTATTCATCAACAAACTATTGAGCTTGTTAATTACTGCATTCAAAATGGGGGAGTGGGGTGGTGGAGACAAAGATGGGCTGCTAATTTCGATGTCCATGTCCATATCCCCATGCCTTTCATAATGTCAGAGGTTTCATTAGGTTCCCTTTTGACTTGCTGCCATAACGGCCAGCCCTTTATCCTGGAACTGGGGTGGGGTAGCTCAGTTGTTAAATGACTGGAGTATGATGCAGAATACAAGCCAACTATTTGGGTTCAATCCCCTAGTAGCTGTATACTTCATTGAGACACTGCCTCCTCACCATATGCCACTGATCTCCCTCAAGCTATACATGACCAAATGCCTCTCCAGTGGACACTAATGCCCTTTGTAAACTGTAGCTCCTTAAATGCATGTCCTAGGCTTGGAAACTCTCAATAGTTTACCAGAGCTCTGTTATTCCCATTAAATTTCTATGACCTTTCAAGAATTCATTCATGCAAATGTATCTTTCTTTGGCTTAGCAATAGGATGAACAATATTTAATTTAGCCCTCTCTGTTCCATTACTTCTCTAGTTTTGCTTGTTTCCTCGGAAAATGTTTTTGTTTTGCTGATCAAACTGTTCAGAGTTGTTACTACACACCTCTGGAGCAGGAAAGACTTGAACCTGGGCCTCCTGGTCTAGGGGTGGAGGCACTTACCATTGTGCCAGTAGGGTTCAATCCATTTCCCTTCTGAAACCCAAGAATATCCCTCTCTACAAACCACATATCCTCCATTCACGACAATTTGCATTTGTATAGCATTTGATGTAATAAAGGTGGATAATAGTGGCATAGCAGTATTATTTGCCCAGTTTGACACTTGGCATGGGTTCAAATCCCATCACAGTCAGCTGCTGGAATTTAAAATCTTTGAATCTCTTCAGAATCAATAACCAGTCTCAATGATAATGTCCATTATAACTAGTGCGAAAATCCACTGGGTTCACAAATGTCCTTCGGGGAAGGAAATCTGACGTCCTTACACGGTTTGGCCTGCATGTGACTCCAGACCCACAGCAAAGCTGCTTGACACTTAACCACCATCTGAAATGGCCAAACCACTTAGTACAAGAGAAATTAGAGACTGGCAACAAGGCTTATTAGTATTTATTTTGGAAGGGAGAACAAAAGAATTGTCTTACTTACATAAGAAAAACTGGAGAAAGCTGCAATGCAAATGGACTTGGGGATACTTGTGCACCAAACACAAAAACTAGCACACAGGTGCTGGAGGTAATAGGAAGGTTAATGGAATGGTGGCCGCCTTTCAATGGGATAAGAGTAGGGAGGTCTTACTGCAATTGCACAGGATGCTGGTGAGACCACATCTACAGTACTGTGAGCAGTTTTGGTTCCTTTAAGAAAATACATTATTGGATGACGTTCCGAGACGTTTCACCAGGATGATCCTCAATGTAAAGGGAATGTCTTCTGAGCTAAGATTAATTAGGTTGGGACTCTAGTCATTTTAGTTTAGGAGTATGAGAAGTGATATCATTGAGGCATATAGAATTCATAAGGTAAATGCTGAGAGGATGTTTCCCCTTGTGGGAAATCTAAAGCCAGAGGTAATTGGCTCAGAATTAAGGGGCACTAATTTAAGACTGAAATGAGGAGGAATTTCTTCTGAAGGTGGTGAGTCTTTGAAACTCTTTGCCATAGACAGCTGTGGGGCCAGAGCCCTTGTGTATATTTAAGGCTGAGATAGATAGGTTCTTGGTCAGTTGGGGATTCAAGTTTTATGGGGAAAGGCAGGAACATGGATGCAAGGAGTGTAGGATCAGCCATGATCCTATTGCATGGCAGAGCAGGCTGGAAGGGCTGAACTCCTGTACCTATTTCTTATGGTCACTGGTGCCCACATCCCATGAATATGTTTAAACAAAAGTAAAGCATTCCAATGCACTTCTATGAAATGCCATCAAGGTTTGATACTGAGCCCCGTTGAGGGATGTTAGAACAAATGACCTAAAGGTTGGTCAGAAATAAAAACAGAAAATGCTGAGGACAGAGAAACATAGTTAATGTTTTGAGTCCGAAATGAATCCTTGGGAACACTCAAGCTATAGTTCTGAAGAAGTCATATTAGACTAGGCTCTTTCTCTCTCTCCACAGATGCTGCCAGGCCTGCTGAATTTCTCTAGTAATTTATTTTTATTTCATATTTCCAGCAGCCACAGTATTTTGCTTATATAAGAGGTAAGGCAGGGTGACCTAACCTGGCTGAAGCACAGCCCAGTATTCCCGATCCAGGAGTTGTTCCAACTCAAGTCTAAAACCCCCAAAAGCTGTCACTTTCTCTCACAGCCACTCGGATGTCCCATATGTAGCGCTGACTTCAGTTTTGGATGGTCACTGCCGAGCATGGATCTCAGAGGGCTGTGTAGGAGAAAACAAAATTAGAGGGAACGTAGTTCATCGGCCAGCCATTCATTCACATCCCTACGCAAAAAAAAAACTACACAGCAGCTCATTAAGGTGAGTGAATATCAGTAATAACATAGTCTTACTGTTCCTCCGGTTTCTTGGCAAGTTGCCTAAACCTACTCTTTGTAAATCTCTGGCTTACTTCCTTTATATTCCCATATGAGCAACCACTATGTGCTATTGCATTTTGTGTTTATAATTAATTTCAAGTCATATTAAGTAGAATATAATGAAATACAACAGATATAGCTCACTATAAATTTACTTTGCAAGTGCTGAGGATGAGGTTAGATGATAACTAACTACCTTTCCCCCCCATATTTCATTATTCCCTCATGTTTGCTTCTCTGGACAATGTCTTTGAGGATGATGACAGAAAGACCCATTTTGCTGAAGCTTTTCATCTTGCACTCCTCAGTTCAAACATTTCAATAGTATGTATCTTTTTTCAGCAATATTTAAAGTTCTGTGCTACCAAATGACTATCTTTGAACTTAGATGAAATGAAAGTTGTGTATCTTTGCAGTTCTGTCCCTTGGAGAAGTGTTCATACCCCATCATTGATTAAATTCAAGCCAAGGATTTCTGAACACTAAGAAATTTGAGGGCAGCATGATGGCTCAGTGGTTAGCACTGCTGCCTCACAACACCTGGGACCCAGGTTCGATTTCACCATCAGGCGACTGTCAGTGTGGAGTTTGCACGTTCTCCCTGTGTCTGCGTGGGTTTCCTCTGGGTGCTCTGGTTTCCTCCCACAGTCCAAAGATGTGCAGGTTAGGTGGATTGGCCATGCTAAATTGCCCATAGTGTTCAGGGATGCCTAGATTGTTGCGGGGGGGTGTTGAGGGGGTCTGGGTCTGGGTGGGATGCTTCGAGGGTCAGTGTGGACTTGTTGGGCCGAAGGGCCTGTTTCCACACTGTAGGGATTCTATGACTATGAAAAAAAAGTTAGGAAGGTGGAGAAAGGGTGTGGGAAGATAGAGTTGATGCAGAAGATCAGTGATCTTTACTGAATGGCACAGCAAGTTCAAAGAGCCTACTCCTGCAATAATTCTTACATTACTCCATGCAGTGTTGATTTGTATCCATCCCCCCTTGGGATACAGCAATGTTTCTTTCTGGACAACAAGAACACATAAAATAGGAGCAGAGGTAGACTATTAAACCCATCCAGTCTGCTGTGCCATCTAATTGAATAATGACTAATCTTAGGATTCCACTCAAATTGTATCTTCCATTCGTGACAACAATTTGCATTTATATAAGTACCTTTACTGTTTCAAAAACCGGAGAAATCTTTGTAGGAGCAATGGTCAAACAAAATGTGACACTGACTCACAGTGAAATATTAGGGCAGGCGATGAACAGTTTTGTTAAGCAGGGAGATTTCAATGCATTGCTTATTGACCAGGTTGTTATATTCAGAAATAATATACCACTTGACTTGGTTAAAATACAGCTAGTCAGCTCACTATAAATATGAGTATTTCTGTTTTAATTTTGATTCTATGTACAACCTAACTGCTAGTGCCAATTTGCTCGAATTGTGCTATTGTCTTTCTCACAATCCTCGACAGTACAGCATCAATCACTAGCGATGACCCTTGCACTTTGAGAAAATTCTGTAATTTCTTCTTATGTGAAGTTCCCTTTAAGATCAAAGTGGATTGGGGAGCACTGTGCAAGAGCTAAGAAGCAAAAGGTAAATAGAAAGCTATTTGCAGTGGTGTTGAGTTTCAGCCTGTGTTTCTGTTTGGCAGTTGTGCAAATACACTTAGAATTCATGTGAAGGAAAACAAGCAAGGTCCTCTCCAAATAGAAAAGTTTTCCGTTTGGCAGGTTTCAAACAGATCCTTGTGGTAAAGCAGGTCCCTGAGAACAGAGCAGAGGCTATGTTACTGTGTGTGTTATACATTTGAAAAGGACAGAGAGCTGAAGACAGAAACAATAAGGGATTGTGGATTTTACAAGACCTATTGCCATTGTTTCAGTGTTTCCAGGATTTCCAAGACCATTTAACATGGTTAGGAGAAGGGAATCTTTGGGGATTCAATACCATTGGGACTGTTGAAACCCAAGTGAGAAAGGGTTCAAAGACATGCTCCTTTTTGGTGTTATTGCATCTAGGGAGTTTGCATGGAATTTGAGTACCAGTTAATGCTCAGAAATTGAAATGATTAATTGGGGAGTGAGACATCCTGTGGAGGATGTGTTAGAATTACTAAGATTACATGTAGTGTTACATTTGCCATGTTTGAATTTTTGTTTTAGTTTATGTTTACAGTAAAAGTTTTAAGTGAATCATGTCCAGTGGTATTCATTCCTTGATGTTGTGAGGATTCCTTTCTTTTTAAAAAGTTGTTGGGGGTCTCTATGAAGACAGTAATGCACTGCAACTTTACTCTGTGCTCCATTTATTTAGTCAGTACTCTTATGAGATTCCCTTTCTGGTCATTTTTAAGTTTCCTCCTTGTCACACCCTTACCACAGTTTGATAGCACTGCTTGCGGGTCCAGAAAAGCAGACGGGCTTCCCCTCCACTGCAGCTAACTAACCTACCTGATATCATAACACCACCCCCCACAAACACAATGCTCCATCTCATCCTAGCAATGGGACTTGCCCCAACCACTGGAAATCCCCCCCACCCCAAAGATGCTCCATCCCATTTGGAGTTTAAACATCCCTCATGCAGAGTTAGAGATGATCCACATCACTATACACCACTCCCCCTCCCCATGCCTGCTAAAACCTCTATGATTGGCACCCTGCCTTAATGCCAAGGTTGGAATCTAATGTCCAAGATCAAGGATCAGGCATGTCGGATGTGACAGACTGTGAATTGGGCTTATTAATAAATTTGTTAAGTCCAATTAAAGGAGGCCACCTGGAATTTCCAGCTTCATGCACTCACAAATCACAATCTAGACGTGAGCACTCAAGGCCTAGCCCCTCAAGAAGACCTAGAGCTGTCCCTGTCTGCCTGGCTGTGACAGCCATACTGAGTGAGTGCTGCACTGTTGAAGTTATCATTTTTTGGATGAGATGTTATATCAAGGCTCCACCTGCTGCCTGCATTGGAAGTGAAAGATCCTCTGACTAATACTGCAAAGGGGACAAGGGAGGTTCTAATTGGTGTCCTGGCCACTATTTATCCCTGAGCCTGGATCATTAGAAATATCAAATAAAAACTGAAAGAACTGTGGATGCTGTAAATCAGAAACAAGAACAGAAGTTGCTGTAAAAGCTCAGCAGGTCTGGCTGCATCTGTGAAGAGAAATCAAAGTTAACATTTCGGGTCTAGTGACCCATCCTCAGAACTGAGCTTTTCCAGCAACTTCTGTTTTTGTCATTCAAAATATAAAGTTGGCATCAAATATTATAAGGTGCCATGTCAAAGATTGTTGCAGAAAATAAAACTTCATGCTGTAGGAAATAACATTATTTTATGGAAAGAAAATTAACTGGCTAACAAAAATAAGGGAGTGGGAATAAATGGTTCTTTTTTGAGCTGGCTGGATGTCATGAGTGGTATGCCACAAGACTCACTGCTGGGCCTTCAACTCTTTATAGTTTATATAAATGATTTGGATGAAGGGACTGAAGGCAAAGTAGCTAAATTTGCTGATGACACAAAGTTAGGTAGGAAAGTGAGTTGTGAAGAGGATATAAGGAGACTACAAAAGGATATAGAAAGGTTAAGTGAGTGGGCAAAGATCTGGCAAATGGAGTGTGATGTGGAAAGGCATGAACCGTCCATTCTGGCAGAAAGAATATAAAAGAAGCACATTATCTAGAAGGTGAGAGGTTACAGAGTTCAGAGATGCAGAGAGGTTTGGGTCTCCCCAAGTACGGTCCACCAAATTGGCCACTCAACTGTATGGATGCAAAGCTCCTGTTCACTAGAACCACATGCATTTACGCAACCATATGAAGTGAGTTTAGATACTTTGGAGGGTGGCATCATTTGAAGCTGAAATCAGAAGCCCTAGAAAAAGTACTCAGCAATACATACAGTTCTTGAGTTTCATAAATAGAGGCAATGAGTGCAAAAGCAGGGACAATATCCTCAGCATTTATAAAACTCTGGTTAGGTCACAACTGGAGCATTACATCCAGTCTTGGTCACCACTTTAGGAAGGATGTAAGTGTTCTGGAAAGGGTGCAGAGCAGATTTATCAAATACTTTCCAGGAATGAGGGATGTTAGATTACAAGGTTATGTTGGAGAGGCTGAGGCTGTTCTCCTTGGTGCAAAGGAATTTGAGGGGAGACTTGATAAAAGTTCAAGAGATTATGACAGATTTAGATAAGGTAGACAAAGACAAGTTGTTCCCTTTAGCCATTGGTAGAAAGATTAGCACACATGTTAAAGACTTTGAGCATAAGATGATGAGAGGGCTGAGAGTGAGAACTGTGTTACACAGTGGGAGGCAACAAATTGAAATTTGCTGCCATAGGGCGGCGGAAACGAGGAGGATTAATGATTTCGAAACGAAACTGAAGGTTAATTTGAGAAAAATAAACTTGCAAGACTACAGGGACAAGACTTACTGGATTTCTGTATAGAGAGATAGTAGAGATTTGACAGGCCAAATGGCCTCCATTTTGTGCTATAATGACTCTATTCTGCAGTTACATTACTGTACAAAGTTCCTATTTGTTCAGTGTAATTTACTGGTAGAATCAGGGGAGATATAGTATAAGGAGTTAGATAAAGTGAATCCTTTCTTTACCTCAACATTGATGTAAATATTCTTTAGAAGCTCAATGAGACCAAGATTATATTTGGCAGAATAAAGATTGCATTATATAAATTTGTAGAACACCTATTTATTCAGCTAAGTAATGGTTACTCATTCATTAACTGTATAAGGAGTCCCAAATTTCCGAACATCTGATTTATGAATGCTTGTACTTACGAATGTGATCCCATACAGGGCTGTAATTTTA